CAATTTAATTCTTCGTATTGTTAGCCGAAACTGGTCAGCTTGTACATAATTGAATAAGTAGAGTTGTTTAAACATTTGTTTAACAACAAGTACAAGCTTGGAATGGTCTATTCTTTCATTGGGGTGTGTGTCTATGAGCCAGACTAGTTTCGGAGAATTCCACTCCTCATCAGTGCCCCCGAACACTACCACCAATGAAATATCAAACCAAGTAGTGAGGTATCAAAAATCAAACTGATGTATGTACATGTTTTACACTCACAAAAAGAAACCTATCATTCTATAGGTATTTGAAGAACACACCCAAATGAAAGAATAGACCATTCCAAGCTTTTACTTGTTAAACAAATGTTTAAACAACTCTACTTATTCAACTATAAGGAACTGTTGGTGAAAAAGTTTGGATTGCAAAATATTTTAATGTCAGTCAGTGTTTAAGGCTTATCAACGAAATAAGAATGATAGGTAAAGAAAGAAATTCATAAACTTGTATTTTGTTGTTTTTTAAAAAAAATTATTACACTATTTACTTCTGTTCATTTTTGTATAGGTTTAAACTTACATTCATTATTACACAAATTGAACTTACACAAAGTTATCATACAAAAATACCTCAAATACCTTCTTTAAAACAATTTTACTCATATACTATAAGGTAGTATTAAGTAATATCAGTATATTTTTTATAAAAGTGTAACTTACGTTATTTTCTTTCTTACATGAAAAATAGGAACTTTTTTAAAATGATTATTTTTTTACTTTTTTCTGATGTTTTTTCTTTCCTAATCAGAAGAGTGTTGTATGGGGATAACTCTATTGCAGTCAGTATTGACTCCATTCCACGGATTCTCTTTAGTGAGGTTAGTTCTTTCATTTCAGAAATAATTTTGTTTTAATTTTCAATTCTTAATACTTAAATTGTAAGATATAAACAAGGTAATTTTCAACATTATTTGTTTAATCTTATTTAATCTGCCTAGTAGTTCATATTTATGTAACAGAGTATGTAAAAGAATAATTCAGTGTATATATTAAGAACACTGGATTGCAGTACAGAATTAGTACCCAGGCCTAGTGCCTCAGTCAGTCATCCAAGTAAAATAATTAGTGTTTGTAAAACTAGCAGATTAGAGGCAAGAGTGAGTTGTTATTATTATCATCATCATTATTATTATTCTTAAATATTACCTGGGCCTAGAGCCCATTAAATGCACAACATTTCAGGTTAATGTTATTTTTCTGCTATATATATGATAAACCAACAATGTTGTGTTATTCATGAAAAAGCTGTGGTGGACATTGTAATTTGGCTTATTTTTCTCTGGTCTGTTAACCATATGATTACTGGCTACTAGTGTTTAGTAGGTAATGTTGCTCTCATTATATTCTGCTCCAAAAATAAAACTAGTGGATGAAATTATTTAAGATTTGGCAAGAATGTTCCTAAAAGCATGTAGTATCAGAAAAATAAAACAAGTAATTTAGATTTTTTCTACTATTTCTAATAAGAATTTTTTTATTTAATGTAGTTATTTCATTCGCACTTTGAATAGTTCACCTGCAAGGTGATTTTTTTTAAAGTATAGAAATACCATTTTTTATCTTAGTTTTAACATTTCATTTGTATAATCTCTTGAACCTCATAAGTGAAAATCAAAAGTTTTTTAAGGTAAATATTTATATTTAATTTTCCATTTTCTCTACTATATTACTAACTGTATCTATTATCATCACCATACAGTGCAATGAAATGGCTAAAATTAACAAATAGAAATATATATACCTTTAAACTCTTTGTAGAAATCCACTAGAATAGTTGTATTTTCTTATATGCGTAATTTCAAGTCTTTATCTTTTCACTTGTTTTTTAATTTTAATTTTTTCTAATTCTTCGTCTCTTCTCATTTATGCCCATACATTAACTGATGGTTAACTAACATACGTTAGTTTTGAACTAAAAATTTTAAAGAAAGCCTGATTAAGCACCCTTAAATACATTTTCTTATGATGAATAAATGCCATATTGCACTAACAAGTATTACATAGGCTTAACTTACATTTATTTTTAGAAGGACAAAAGAGGAAAATACCAAATTAATAATTAAAATAAGAAGATGCATTTAGGTGGAAATGAGTTTTAAATTTTTTATATCAAAATCAATATTATGTTGCCAGTATTTTTAACAAATCATGATACTCAGTTTTATCTATTTCTCTAAATGTTTGTTCCTTAGATGGGCTTTTGTGTTTGAGTTATATCACATATATGACATTTGTTAAGTGTTATGGCCAATTTAGGCTGACTTTGTGTTGGAAATAATTCTGTGTATAACTAGTGAATCAAGTGGATTGAAACAATTGCATGAACTCGTTCTATAGCATGAAAGTATTAGAGAGGATTTGCTTACCAAATAATTTTAAGGATTTACACACATATATGTTTAAGTCATCAAAAATGCTAAATGTGTAAAGAGAAAGTTATGTATTTTTAAATATGATTTGTTAAATTTTCTGATGTGGTATCTTACCTACCTTCTCACCCATATAGCTATTCTCTTTCAGTGCTACTCTCTATATGCAAATATTTTTTTCCATGTCACAGGCCTTGAGCTCACGTACTTTACATTCAGCATTGTTCAATTGCGTCTCGCATGTAAATCATTATGTTGTAATCCTTATGTTGCTAGGATCTACTCAGGAGGGACACTGTCTTATCCCGGGCTTCTCTCCTTTTTTCATATCTTCGGGACCTGCAGATATTTCCTTTTCTCCATCGGTCTGTCTCTGGAGATATTAGTGAGTCTAGTCACACGTGGAATACTTTCTTTTCTGGTTACTCATTTGTTTCACCCCACTACCAAGCCCTCTCCCATACCTGTTTCCTGTCCTTTGCCAATTCCTACCACTAGGAGTTTGATGTTTCGTCGTATGTCACAATGTTGAGTTCATTGTCACCGGCAGTTCCTGTAACTATCAGATGGTTTCTGATCCAGTGGGGGCACATTTGACTAGTTTTGTTCACCTGTGGAGAGAGTTCACTTCCAATCTGTGGGTGATCCAGATTTTGTCAGATGGACTTTTTATCCATTTCCTTTCCCCTCTTCCATTGCCTCCAGTACCTATATCCTTCCCATTACCTCGGGATCCCACTACCAGTTAGCATCTATCCAAGGCTGTGCAGACTCTACTATCACAGCAAGCTATCAAGCCTGTCAGCCAGCGTTCCCCAGGATTTTTTGTCATCCCCAAGAAAATTAGGGGTGTCCTGTGATCGACCTGTCCCACCTCAACCAATTTATGGATCTTCCCTGCTTTACTGTGGAATCCTTTCTCACACTTGAGTGGGCTTTTTCTCCAGGTCTGTGGATGACCAAGGTAGACATCTCAAACATCTCCATATTCCTATTTTTCATCAGTCATGTCACTACCTTTGCTTTGTACAGTCACTCGTTGCACTGTCTCCAGTGTTAGCATTCTTCCAGGCTCTCCACCATGTTTTCACCCACCCTCTTTTTTCTTTTAGTAGAATATGAGAGTCTTTGCCACTTTCTAGATCCAAGTCACTGGGATGATGGACCATGTATTAATCATAGAAGCTGGGTGCAACATCAACCTCCGAAAACCACCACATAAGTTGGAGTGTAATTGTGAAATATGCACAACATCATCCGCCAGATAACATCACACAGAAGCTGGAGAGCAATGCCAATCACTGGGTCCCACTATGCAGAAGTGGACTGCCTCTATTAAATATATGCAACTCACCTTCCAGATACAACTGCACAGTAGCTGGGCACAACATTAACCACTAGAACCCACTGCACAGAAGTGGAGTGCATGATATGAGAATCAAATGCCATCTACACAGGCAGAACACCATCGCTCTACTTTCCACTGAAGTGAAAGGATCACATTCAGGATATCGTCCTATCCAGAGGATGATGTTGCTTTTGAGTAGATTCGTAACATTGCAGTTCACCCCTTCGATTAGGTGTTGGTTCCCAGTGAGTAGTTTTGGATTGGAGCTGGACCAATCACCACAAATCCTCACACATATTGGTCACGCTTTCGTATTCTACCTCTTTCTAGTAGTTTAGTCTCATAAACTCCTTCTCTGTGTGGTGGGTCTAGGAGGTTGATGTTGTGCTTACATGCACTCCAGCTTCTATGTGGTTCTATCCAGAGGATGAGGTTGCTCAAGGCAATAGTTTTCCCTCTGGTGCTTTGCCTCCAGGAGTTTTGCTACCTGAGGTGCATGTTCCACAGTGTGAAACCAGTCTAATAGGGTTTGGATTTGCTGTGAACTGCCACATTGGAACATCACTTCTTACAGTCATTCAGAGGTCGTGTTCCTGGATGACTGTTTATAGTCATGGATTTGCACACATTTCATGTTTAGTAGATTGGTTTGGTATATATATCTTTCTGTTCTGTTCAACTTGAGATGAAGACAGAGTGGACCCTCCTCCTACCATGGGTCAGAAGATGTATGCCTGATACTGCTTGATTTGGGACCAGAGTTGACATCACAACCATACTATGCCATGGGACACATCCGTTTTAGTTTTCTTCTTTTTTTTTGGATGTGTTCCTCCTACTTTTTGCCCCTGTATATGACACTTGTTTTCACAATTGGTGAAGAGTATACCTGGTACAGAAGTGGTGCAATCTACAGGTCACACTTTCAGGGAGTTCTTTAGATGCTTTTGAAGGATACTTCTCTATATCCCTTACATCAGTCCCTCCACCCATTGAATGTTGGATTGTAGCTATACATGTGAGAGAAGGTAAGATACCATATTGGAAGTTATTATTTTCCTACACTGAAAATATATCTCTCACATTTACCACCCTTCTTCCTCACTTCCTTTCTGCCTAATCTTGAAGTAATAGTTCTATAGAATCAAATAAAGGGAGTCACATGCGTCAGGAAGGTGTGTCGTGCTCCTATTGGTGGAGCATTTTCACATGACAATTTACAAGCAAAGATGCTGTGAATCATGGGGTTAGTTGGAGTTCAAAGCTTGTGGCATGCGAAAAAATTTTGCATATAGAGGGCAACATTAAACACCAATAGCTATACATGTGAGTGAAGGTAAATACCTATCGGAAATATATTTTCAGTGTACAAAAATATTAACTTTGCTTGTTGTAGTAGGAAAAAGTTGGTCATACATTGTAAATGTTATTTTATAGAATCAATAGTTTTTTGTCTATCACAGTAATATCAATATTATCTTTATGGATAGAACAGACTTATTAGTTTGTTTTTAGCACAAAATTACCATTTTTAATATTTATATGGTTTCCATTAGAATAAAAAAGGCTATTCTTTACCTAATATTCATTACTCATACTTTTTCCTTCCTAGTATTTGTATAATAAACATAATTAGAAAAATATGGAGATCAAATTTGTTTTAATAACTGTAGGTTTTCAGGATCAGTACCATGATTGGTTACCTTTTGCTTTTTACATGTTGTTAATCTTAGAACATGGTCATGAAATGGTTAAAAGAAGCTAAAATATGACAACTGTCTCAGTTAACCAGCTGTACTACACTGAAAATTGTGTGACATTTTATGAGGATGATGCTGATTAGCAAAAATTTATAAAAGTACTTAGTATTGATAATAATAGGCTTAACATCAAGGATTACATTTTCAGTATGTTCAACTTTTCAAAATTCATCATAAGCAAACTTTTCACTGAATTACCCCTCATACTTAGTAAGCCTATCAAGGTTTGACTGAATATGAGCTGTTCCATTATTATTATGTTGTTGATTATCTAATATTTAATTATTTCTGATGCATGTTTTATTTTTTGTATAGGTCCTGGAACCTTTTTATGTTTTCCA